TATTTAGTGAAAATAGGAAAGGAGGCAGAGTGGCACTTTTAAATCAAAGTGCTCCAGTTTAATTTAGCATAGTTAATAAACTGTTTCATGCTGAGGTGACGGCATAACTTGCTCAAGTCCGGAAGAGTTTAACGTCACATTTGAAAGATCAAAGAAAATAGACACAAAACAAAGACAGAACAGGGGAGATAACCAAGCCCACGAAATGAAGCAGTCTTCTGTATATGGCCGCTTGGCCTCCTCTCACTTTCTTCTCATAATCCTGTTTCAGAAATACCTTCCCAAACTGAACTCAGAGGAAAGAAACGAAAACTTTCAGGTCACTTGATAACAAGTCTTGGGCTCTGTAAGATCATTCTGTAAATTAACCACCACAGTTAGAAACAGATTGTCTTCACCTGACTCCTTGGGCACTTTCTAGGTTTCGTTGCCCATCTGGATTTGGCCTGAGAAGCCACAGATGAGTCTAGGTCCGGACAGAAGTCATTGCTCTCCACCTTGAATTGCTTGCTTATAGCTCCTTTAGAAGTGATTTTCTCAATATTAGAGTCAGAATCATCAGAGGTAGGTGTTTCCTTTTGTGTCAGTTCTTGGTTTTGGCAGGGTCAGGCTTTTGAAAGATATCCAAATTCGAGGATCTGTTTTTGGTGCTTCTCGTTTTTTGGTTCCAGTAGTGGAGGCAGAAGACTGACTTTTTGCTGCCATCTTTTTTCCTGTCGTGCCTTTTTCAGTAGGTTACTTTGTAATTTTAGTGTCGGCTGAGACATCAGCAAAAGGGCTTAAAGAAAATGGTTCACTATGTTTAGCATCATCACCTATAGGTCAGTTACTGAGATGGTACTTTTCTATGGTTTTGCTTTTTTTCTTAGTATCTTTTGGGTGAGTTTTAGCCTTAGGTGGACTAGCATCTGATGGGACAAAATCTTCATCCTCAGTTTCTCCATCACCGTCTGAGAAATCTTCATCTGAATCCAAATCCATTTTGAGTTTTGTTTTTGCTGCATCTCTCCATGGCTCTTTCTCATGGAGGAGCATTAAAATTACTTTCAGTACTAATCATATCTGATTCTGACTCACACCAGAGATTTCCCTTCTTTCCTTCTTAGATAGGTTTAAGTGGCACTGTAGTTTGCTTCTTTCCCTTGGTACATGGCTGTCTTATTCAGTTTCTTCTCTAGTCTTTGTTTAGGCCTTCCATTTCCACATTGTTCTCCCCAGGTTCCCCTCAGTATTTTCACTCAATTCTCTGCCTCTGCTTTCATCTCTGTGGTCACTCAAGGAATGACTTTTTCCTTGTTGAGAAGGCAAAAAGTCAACTGTCTGTGTTTTTTCCCCTTTTGCTCTCCTTTCCCAGGAAGTCCTACTTGTACATCTTGTTTTTCTTTGGCTTCAGTGACCTGTAATCTTTCAGTAAAAGCAACCAAGTCTTCTTTCCACAAATCCAGTGGATTCTTTTTCTTTAATGTGCCCAACTCTTGCTCCTTTTCAGGTCTCTTTCATCTTTCTGTTGGCCTAGTATCTCTTGCAGTACTACTCCTTGTAGTTGCAGTACTCCTCCTTTGTAGTTTCCTTTTCACTGTCACTTTCTTTATTTTCTTCCTCATCCTGAAACTTTGATTAGGCTTTCTCCAGAACTTCACAAGATCAATAATACCTCCTCTCCTGCTGACTCTTGAAAAAGTTACATGACCTGAGTTCCTCCACACCTCTACGTCCAATACAGACAAGTATAATTGTCTCTGCATGTCCAACTCATCAAGGATCAGAGTCAAGAGGGGATGGGGGGTGGTAAAGGGCTTCCTTGGAAACTTATATGATATCAGGTGGAAGAGAGCTTTTTCTTGAAGGGATCCAGTTTATAGAGCTCCCAGAAAGTTTTCTCTGCACCCAAATAGACTTCTGCTTCCTGACCCCTGTCCATTATTCCTGTTGCTGGTCGTTCTTTTGGACTAAGGTGTTAGTGTTGTTTATATACTGTTAAAATATGACAACCAGTCTGGAAAGGGTGACACAGTAGCCCAGGAATAAAGATGTGGTTTACCATTTATGAACTTCTGTTTCACAGTCTTTTTTGACACTCATGTTAGAGGGTGAACAGGTGTGAGCCTGCTTGTGACCAAGATACATAACAAAAGCTTTAAAAATATGCACATTCCCTGATGCAACAATTTCTTACCTGAACATATATTCTATAGGAAACAATGTGTTCAGAGCTGTCTTCAAGGAAGTCTTATTTAGAGCAGCACAGAATTATAAATTACCCAAGTGTCCCAGAATAAGTAGTCAGCTAATAATGGTATGCATGTATAATAAAATACCACCAGGCCAGTTTCATGGGTGTGTGACCAATACAGTCCTTCAGAAGGGTTTCTCACCTACTTAACTGCTTTGCTACTGCTGTCTTTAAAATCTTAATCATTTTTGAATGAGAGTCCCTCATTTTCATTTTAAACTATACCTTACAAATTATGTAACCACCTCCTGAATATACATAACAATTAAAATAATTCTTATGGAGAATATTCTTTGAAATAGAAAATTGCTTTGAATAAATGAAGAGATGAGGCTATAAAACCATAAATGATGCAATCTTGATTTTGTAAAAACAGAAACATATGCATATATTGATGCAAAGGACTGGATAAAAATATACCAAAATGTTAGAGTGGGTATCTCTGAAGAAAGAAGATTGTCCACTCATTTTATTACTATTTTCTTTTTTGGCCATTTCCTCTGTTTTCAAGTATGGAGAGTATAAATATAGTCTTGTAACATTTCTGAAAAAGGCAAAAATGTGTCTATCAGAGCTAAGAACAAGTAATTCTCTCTCTCTCTCTCTCTTTTTTTTTTTTTTTTTTTTTTTTTTTTGTACGGGGGATTGAACTCGGGTCTTTGCACTTGCAAGGCAGGCCACCAAACCGCTGAGCTAAATCCCCGGCCCAAGCAATTCTCTCTTATGCTCTAATAGAGTCAGAAGCCCTTCTCATGCAGAGTAGATTTCTGGATAAACACACAAAGAGAAAATCAGTTGCTGAGAACACCAAGTATTCTTAGGAGCTCCATGAAGTTGAGTACAGATCTCTTGGTCTCCACTTTCCGTCATGGGCCTGACACACATAATGCATCCAGTGACTGGGCTCCTTGTCATATCTGTGGCATAAGATCAATAGTAGTCTTCACCCATGACAGTCTCATCAGACATTGACCACACTGAATTCTGATGGAGGTGGGACCTTCTCTGGATGACATGAACTTTGAGTAAGCATCTAGACCAGGGCGAGAAGCCAAATCCTAAGTCCTGAGTGTCCTGTCTCCCTCTGGGATAAACTCCCGGCACACAGGTCAGACAGGCTCCACTTGCCTCACTTGCACTTGCATCAGCACAAACTTTATCCCAACAGCAGAGGGCAACAGCGATCAACAAGCCCAGAAGGGAAGCTGATGGGCGAATAGGGTGGACCTTGAGAAAAGAAAAGGTAGTCCTCCAGAAGGGAGTGGTCCTGTCCACTCCACACTCCTTCCCTAGTTTTCTCCTCGCCCAAGTCCTTATCAAGCTTTTCCTGACTGTCTTGATCTTAGCTAAGCATGGCAGGTAGCACAGGATTCCTAGAACCTTAGCTATCTAAAGCCAAGTCTTCTGAGTTACTGGTCTCATATGGGCAGATGGGCTTGTGGAGGTCCAGAAAAGGGATAGACTTCTCTGAGCCACACAGTGAGCAAAGGCAAACAGTTCTGCCCACTGCGGTGGGGAGGTAGGTCTTATAATGAGTAAGAGTGAGTGCACAGGAAAGGCTATTCAAAAGGAGGTAGTCAGTACAAACATAAGAGATGCCCACTGCGCATCCTATGTACCCAGCTCTGAGACATGGGTCCAAGCAAGACCAGGCAGTCATGGCCATACTGGGAGGTAGGGTTGTCTCTTCTCTGAATTCACACACTACTGTGAGCTCCATATTCTAGTTCGAGGATGTTTTGCTCCAAGGAAACTATAAAATCTTCCAAGGACTCTTATCTGTTTTCCCTTTGGCATGCTCAGCACCGGGCAGGACACATCATGCTCAGGGAAGATGGGAGGGTTCAAAAGTGGGTGTGGGATGTGAGGGGAGTCAGGCAGGGCTCCTTTGTGCTCTGCCAAACCCAGGCAGGACAGTCGGGTTTCACACCTCTTTCCCCACTGTGTGAGTTCCTACATATGCATACTCGGTACTGTCCCATCTCTGCCTCCATCTCATGATGGCCCTCTGAAAGCATCTCCTCCAGGGCCTCCTTACCCCTCCTTTAGAACAGTATCTGGCTAGAAACTGATAATACAGGGTCCTTAGAGAAGAAGTGCAGCACAGTGGAGAGGAGAACATCAGATTGTTGTTGACCTGTGTCCTGAGTACCAAAGACCCTTAATCTTATCTGTAAAAAGGAGTTGCTAATCCATGCCCCAGCTAGATAGTCTCAAAGACTTAGACGTGGCACAGAGAAGGCCTGATAGAGCAGGCAGGTGGCTATCAACTGCCATTTGTACATATGGCTGGTTCCCTGTGAGGTGAAGAACTCCTTGAGAGCACGGATGGGATCTTTTGATGTCTCAAGACCTAGCAAAGGTTAAAACAATGAAATGTTTGGGGACCGCAGAGTTCTTGAGAAGTCTGCTCCTCACCAGCAAGATCCAGAACAGTCCCCACCCACACCAGCCACACCTGGCCTCTGCTGTCACTCAGAAGCCCCTCCACCTCCCAGTCCCATTCTCAACCTTTGCAATGACAGCCCCACCCAGCAATGTGTTTGCTCCTAATTCCCCTTCCAAATGAGATTTATGAAGGTTTTCATAAATTTTAAAAACTGACTTGCACCCTTTAATAAAAGCCTGTGGTGGGCAGGGAATATTGAGCTGCAAATTTTCTATAGTAAAATTTACATGAGTGGATTATCAAGGTTGGCGGGCTCCCCTACCCCAGTCCTCAGGGCTGCTTTTCCCAGAACCAAACACTGTGTTTGTTGCTTGGCAGACCACGGTGAGCTGGGATGGTGACAAGCTCCAGTGTGTGCAGAAGGGTGAGAAGGAGGGGCGCGGCTGGACCCAGTGGATCGAGGGTGACGAGCTGCACCTGGTAGGTTCTTAATGGGGCCAGACTGTGCCCCCAGAGACCTTTGTCACTGTGGAGGTCCCGATGGACTTGGGAAAAGATACAATGGCTGGGCCTTGGTTTTGCGCTGAAGATTCTCTTCCAAGGGCCTGGAGAAGATGTGTGAGTGACTTTCAGAATCATGCCATGTGCTTTCGGCCATGTGATGGCAAACCTTTTAGAGCTTTCAGTGATACAAACAGCCTGCTGTGGCATGAGTGCCATAGGTTCGCCACCACTGATCTAGACAAATTCCTTGACCAATCAGAGGGCAAAGATGAGAAGGTGCCCTTACTAAGCATCAGCAGTGGAACCCTTTTTGCATTCTCATTATAGTGACTTAAAATAGGAATGTATCCCTGTTTTGCTGTTGAGGATATAGGTCCTTGAAGGCTAGATTGCACTCCCACATTGAATACTTAGAAAGTGAGAGAATCAACTTTTGCTCCCAAATGATATATTATGTGCATTATTAACAAATTGTGGCTGGCCAGAGCTGGGGAGACCTCCCTAGGCTTCTCTAAGACATGATCCCAGCCTAGGGTTGAGCGAAGAAAAGCCTGCCTTACCCATTCACCCTGTCCTCCACCCTGGAAACTCAAGGTAAAAGTCATGTCCATTCTATCTGCTGTCTTGGAAAAGCACACACAGATCCAGAGCAGAGCTATTAGCTCCTGGCAAGCTAAGGTAGCACATGTCCCCAGAGGAGACACCTTCTACAATTCCTCTTTTCCTGGGAACTCCTCAACTACTTCAGCTGTGCAAGGCACCTAGTTCGGGCAATCTGGGTTCTAATCACAGGCTTTACACTGGGTGCCCTTTGGAAGTTCCCGTCCCTTCCTCAGTCTCCTCTGCATAACAACATCCTGTCTCACAGAAGTTCTGCAAAGATCTCTGAGGAGAGATGCAAGGGTGTTATTTCCTTCAATGGCAGGGAGCCTCCGTGGTAAGGCCCAACCTTAAGCTGGTCTCCTCCTGGGTTTTTGCTTCCCCAACTGCAGAGCAAACAGCTTAGGTGAAATGACCTGTATTATTCTCTCAGCTCAATAGTTCTGTGGCTCTATGCCAGAAGTTGCAGTCTAAGAGCTGCAGGTATAGTTTATTTAGCCCTAAAAAGACTTTAAAGTTCTTCAACCAACAATTTAAAAATTAGGAAATGTCACACAAACATCCAGATTTCCAGATTCCTTTACAAAAAGAAAAAAAAAAAAAACCTCACAAAACATGGCAATACAGCTGTCCTTGCTTCCTGGCCACAGTCAGCAGGGGCTGAACAGGTGCTGGTCTGAGGACAAGGCACAGGCTCTCTTCAGTGCATTCCTGGGAGGAGTTAATGGTAGTAACGACACAGCTCCACTGACTGGGATGCTGATATAACTGGTGTAGTATGGGATGCAAGCATTTCCAAACTTGCAGGTGCCTCCAGTGTGCACTTCACAGCTTTGTTCTGCAACAACCTATTGAGCCGTGTCTCTGGGCTCAGTTCCTAAAGCTTTTCAGCCTCTTGAGGGTGGTGAAGGGAAAAAGGGTATCAAGGGGTCTTACTGGCCAGCTCTGAGCCATATCTGTGCCCCTAGCCAGCTCTGTCTTCAGGATGCAGAGATTCTGATCTCTGCTGATCCCATTCAACTGACTCTCGAGGAAATAATTAGTTCAATTCATGGGGAAAAATAGCAGCCACTATTTTCAAAGTTCTTGCCTTAAGGTGCTCTGAACCTTGAGTATGACAATGCACTGGGCAACAACCACATCTGTTTTTGTTTCAGGAGATGAGAGTACAGGGTGTCGTCTGCAAGCAAGTGTTCAAGAAGGTGCACTGAGGCCCAGGCAGATGACCTTGATGTGGAGGAACAAGTAACATAGACCTGGGCCAGTATCCCCTCTGCACAGCGTGGGGCAGAAATGTCTAGCCATGCCCATCATCCGTTAGCAGAGTCTCTCTTTGCCTTTGCCTCTTTTCCCTTTTCTTAAAATGAAGCCGTCCCAATAAAGGTAATCTCTGTACAAGACATCTATTTTGCAGAAGTTTCACACTCCACTTCGTTCTCCAGTACCTCTGAGGCCATCTTTTCCTGATGCCACCACCTGCAGATTTAATCCCTAGGTTGCTCGTGGCATGTCTTTCTGCAGGGGCACAGATGAGGCTCTGGGGTGCATAGGTACTGATATTCAGTCATCTATATACTACGTACCTTTCACATTACATGTCCAAAAGGCCAAATTGGCACATTACAGTGCCAAAGTGTAGTGCATGCCACAGAATCAGGTGAAGACACCTGCTTCCTGAGACTGGGAGCCGAGATAAGGAGGTCTGGGCAACAGAGAATGGCTTCATAACTGTGCCACACACAAGGAGATGCTCCACCATCATTTGTGAGTGAAATGGAGTTGGACAGGATTTTTGGCACAAAGCTATAATGAAATGACCCTTAATCAAAACCAATTACCTATTGGATTTGATTTCCAACATGTCGAAAACACATTACTTCATCCCAAGACCATCATGACCCCTTCTACAGGCTGATGTGAAGCCTTTCTCTCCATTGTTCTAGATAGAACAAGGAGAGCAGTTTTCTGTTCACACTAAAGTGTAAATGACTGCTAGCTGTGCCTTGGAATAAAGAAACATGGGAAAATGGAAAACAATCAGAAAAGGGAAGACTCCCAAGGAAGACCTAATAATCGGCCTGGCTGTGTTCTAATCTTTAAAAGTAGTACCTAGATAGGATTCACAGGAGCTGAGTTCAAATCCCAACTTCACTCACGGAGCAATATCACACCCATCTGGAGCTTGCTTCTCTAGCCAGAAAGACACAATGATAACTTGCCTCACCTCCTACACAGGTGCCTATATGGTTTAGATCTAGAATGCCTCATGAAAGCCTCATGTGTTCAAAGGTGGGGCTTTTGGAAAGTGACTGGATCCTGAAGGTGCTAACCCACTGATGTTCTCTTGGCTGAATGTGCCCTTAGAAAGTGGAGCCCAGTCGGAAGAGCTGGACCACTGGGGCTACGACCTGGAAATGTGTATCTCTCCTCCCTTCTTATCTGTCCCCTGGTTGGCATAATGTGAGCAGCTTTCCTCTGCTAGACTCTCCCACCATGGCCTTCCTACCTTGGAGCTGGCTGACCATGAACTGAATCCTCTAAAAACTGTGAGCCAAAATAAATCTCTCTTCCTTAAGTTTTAGGTGTGGATATTTTGTCCCAGGAAGAAGAAAGCAACTAAGACCGGTGGGATGGGAAGCCTGGAATGTTTATGGAACCTCTAGACTTCCAGGCACCAGACTGATGGTTCTCAACCTGGCTACATGTTAGAACCACCTGTGGAGCTTCAGAATTCCCTGTGCCCCAGAACCAGTTCCATCTGAATGTCTCAAAATAAGAGACATCATTATTTTTTCCCCACAGCAGATTCTAATATGTGACAAGTTGAGAATGACTTCTCTAGACCAGTGGTTCTCAGCTAGAGGTGATTCAGCCCCCAACCTCACTCCAGGGCTGCTGAGCACTGTGGAGACATTGGCTTCATGACTTGGGTGGGGGAAGTGCTACTGGCAAGTACTGTTTAGAATCCGGGGATGCTGCTGAACATCCTACAGTGTCAAGGACTGTCCCCCACAAAAACAGTCCAGTCCAAGGTGTCAATAGTGGTAAGATGGAGAAACTCTGTCTCAGATAACTTTTTTCTTTTTTCTTTGTCTAGCCTATACCCAGAAATGAAAATCTGGGTTTGGCTAAGGTCCTGAACCCCCTCACTTTTGCAGCTGTGGTCTCCCACAGCTTTATAAAGACCGTTCGTTCACTGGCAGAGAGTTAGTGGAGGCCTACTGTGTGCCAGACACTGATCTAGCACCACCTGGGAATGTGTGGAGCAACTCAAGTTCCCTCTCTATCTCAAGTTTGGTCCTGCCTGGGGCTCAGCCTCCGCACCTGCTGCCTGAGTTATTGCATGTATGAATCCTCTTTTTCAAAGTTGGAAGTTATATGATATGAATATATTATGACATCACAGTGGTGCCTCGGTTTATGAACTTAATTCATTTCCATGATTCTGGGGAAGAAGGCTGCAGTCACGTTTGTGCAGGGAAGATGGCCTCTGTTGTGTTTGTCACCTGACATGGAGTTCATGAACAGAAGCAAAATTTTGCTAAATGAGGAACTGAGGTATTATACAATTAATTTGAGGTACATTATTAAATAATTTGGTTCACAGACAGAAGTGTTTGGCAAATTTTGCTTCTGTCTGTGAACTGTGTATCAAGTGACCAACACAACCATGGCCATCTTCCCCACACAAACACAAATGTAGCCATCTTCCCCAAAATCGTAAAGCAAATTAAGCTTATGAACCAAGGTACCTAGAGCACACCACACTAAGAGCACATTGAAATCTTACAACCCTTATTTCAAAAAATGTCAAAATCCCAGACTTCCACTCCAAGTAGTAGACCCAGGGAACGGTGAGATGTGGTGACTCAATTTCCCTGTCAGACCTTCCCTCCAAATGCACAAATGCCTCACCCCACAGTTTAAGTCCTGATGACAGACTTCAGGGGATGGTCCTGATGGCATGAGTATGCATACCTGGTAGGCCTGGTGTCCCACCCTCAAAAGTCAGGAATCCTGTGGGAAGACAGCCTTATTCTGATCAGACAGGTTGAATACTGGGACCAATTTTAATGGGCAGTGGGGAGCCCCAGGAGGTTTTGAGCAAGGCAGTCACCTGATCAGCCTTTGAGCAGAATTAATCTGGCAGCCATCCTCTCAGCAGGAGAGGGAGAGAGGGAGAGATAGAGAGATCAGGAGCTTAGCAGAGAGCAGTCACATTTAATTCAAAGTTCTCTTCATCTTCACAAAGAAATACATGTAAACCGGGAGGAATGTTTCTTACAGTGTGCAAACCTATAGCCACAGCAACAGGCTTTGGCTTTAATGCTGCTTTTCATTTTCACAGTACTTTCTCCAATATTTTGCAAAGGGCTTGCTGCTAAATGAGCAACAGTGTGCATATGCTAACTGTTCAGCCTTCACTGTGGCACTTCAGTGCCTCTCACCTCCAGTGCGAAGCCATTGATGTCAGCTCCATTTTTAGAGCAATGCTGCAGGCGCCGACGCTTCCCCAGCACTTGGATGTCATTGTCACGGGACGCAAAAAGGATTTTCAAATCTGACAGTGCCTGGTAACACGACTGGGTGCTGAGACTGGAATCGCCCACCAAATTTCCAAAGCATGGCGAAGATGGTGTGCTGCCTGCCCTAAGGACTGATGGAGGTGGCACCAACCCGGCACTGCAGGGCTGTGGGCATGGCGTCGTCTCATCTCAAGTTCCTGGAAGTTTGGGATTTGGACGTCTTTGGAACTGAGAGTCACATATTTCAAATACATAACACATTTACAACATGTAACTTCAGACTTTCAGAAAAGAGGACAGCCAGTGTGCAGCAACTCAGCAGGAGGCAGAGAGGCTGCACTCGGGGCAGCAGCAGACCCCTGCTGGGATAGTGATTGAGCAACAATGCTCTGTAGCCCCGTGATCTGGGTTCAGACCCCAGCTCTGTCACTTCTGGCTCTGCGAGGTTAAAGCACTCAAGCATCCTCCCTATTCCTCATTTTATTCATCTGTCAGCCCAGGTTAACAATTTCTCATAGAGGTTTTTGAGAATTAAACGCCTCTAGTAACATGTAAGCAACTTTGAACAGATGATAGATAGTCGATGGATAGATGATAGATATTTTCACAAAGAGATTTGAACAGTACTTAACATACATCAAGCCAGTTTATATGTGGATTAAACAAAGAAAACGTAACCAAGAGCACTTCAAGTGTACAATCAGCATGATAACTTTTGGCCCACGAAGTGTGAGAAAAGGAGGAGCTGCCATTCAGGGCAAGCCTGGAAGTAGAGGTCAGAAAAGGTGGGTCAGGAGAGCAAAAAGCCCCAACTCTACCTCAGCAGCAGAAGGAGGGGCAAGGGCAGGGCCTCTCTGAGTGTCTTGGGGGTATAAACTCAAGTGCAAGTTCTCTGCCACACACGGTAATGCTAACTGAGACCATGGAGTTCCTGATGCTCAGGCCTAGTGACCTACAATCACAGGGATGGTAATCAGACAGACCTCAGGCACTAACCCACAATCCTTAAATGTCGTTTTCTAGGCAGCTTCCAAACCTTCCTATAAGAGTACTCCGGTAAGGTAAACGCCAAGGACTGCCCCAAAAGTCCTAATTTATATCTGTCTCAGTTAACTAAAACATTATTTTTTTTTAAACCACAGATAGAACTCAGGACCTTGTGCTTGCAAGGCAGGTGGGGCACCTTTGAGCTAAATCCCCTGCCCTTACTATTCTTTTTTTTTTTTCATTGAGTTTATTGGTACACTTTAGGTATACAGTACAGTTACATGTATCATTGGGATCTTGTACCTTTACGTGACAGGTCTTGGTTCTCATTTTTTCCCCTTGTCCCTGCCCTCCCTTCACCCCCTCCTCCCTTCCTATTTACAAATACTTCATTTCCATTTTTTCATTTTCTCATTTTTTTTCCTTTTGCCTTATTTCCTTTCCCCTACCCTTCCCATTTCCCCTACTTCCTGTTTCACATTGTCAATTATATCATTAGGATCTTATGTAACATTATAGTTTGTCACACCAGAGAAACTATTTGGTATTTATACATGTGGGATTTATTTATTTCACTTAGGAGTATATCTTCAATATGTATCCATTTTCCTATAAATGACTCTTATTTCTCATTGTTTATGGCTGAGTAGTATTCCATTTTATAGAAAAAACATATCTTCTTTATCCAGTTTCCAACTGATGGGCAATTGGGCCATTTCCAAGGTTTAGCTATTACAAACTGTGCTGCTATAAACATAGGTGCGCATATATCACTGTGATATGATTCCTTTAATTCTTTTGGAAAGATACCCAGCAGAGGGATGGCTAGGTCAAATGGAGCCTCTAGTTCCAGCTCTTTGAGGTATCTCCATATTGATTTCCATAGTGGTTGCACCAGTCTGCACTCCCACCAACAATGGAGAAGCGTTCCTTTCTCCCCACAACTCCGTCAACATTTGTTATTGGTTGATTTCTTGATTGCCATGCTTTCTGGGGTGAGGTGGAATCTCAGTGTTGTTTTCATCTGCATGTCTCCAATGACCAGTGATGTGGAACATTTTTTCATATATTTACTTGCCGCTTTTACTTCTTTGTCTGAGAAATGTCTGTTCATTTCAGATGCCCATTTTTGAATCAGGTCTTTGTATTTGGGGGGGACTGATTTTTTTTATTTCTTTATATATTCTAGATAATAGTCCTTTGTCTGAGAAGCAGCTAGTAAACATTTTTTCCCAAATTGTGGGTTGTCTCTTAGTTCTGTTGATGGGTGCAAATTAAACAGCTCAACACTGCATTGCAATTAAATTCTGCTCAACTCTCCGCAATGTCCCTTATTCATGCCAACACTGAAGGGAGCAATCCCCCATGCCTTCCCACCATCACCTATAGATCTCAGTCTTCCATAACCTTGCATTCCCAAGGGCTTTTTCACCTTCTCACCTACCACTGAGCTGGGAGACCTGTGGGAGAGCCAATCTACAGAGGTGGAGAGAACCTGTTAATCACCTGTATCACAGGAATGAGTTTTTCTCTCATAGGATTCAAAACAAGAAGAGTGAAGGATGTCCCTTTGTTAAAAAAAAAGAAATTGATTTTCTCTGAGAAAGACACTTATCAATGATGACATTTCCCATGCCACACCATAGATCACAACAAACCCTACCAGTCCTTCAGAAACCAATTTGGAGTCCCCATGAGTAGCCGTCAAGAGCTCTTCTTTAAGCTCTGAGCCTCTCAAGCATGATCCTAGCTCTTTCTTCTTTGTGAGAATCCCTAAAGAAACTCTAGGTCAAAATTATAAAAATTGTAACTTTAAATGATTACAATATATCAAATTAGATAGCACCCAAAATACAGTGTAATATAATTAAGTAGTGTGAGTTCCAGGATAATTATAATACCTATGACTTGTACGAATGTATGGGGTACCCGAGGCAGTGTGGCCCGTTCACAGTGCACAAAATGAAAGGTGGAGGATGAACTTCACCCTGTCCCATTACTGTCTCTCTTCGTTTAACTTCATTTGGAGAT